ATAGGAATAAATGAAGTGCAAGTGAAAACGTATGAAGTTGCCATGATATTTAGATTGCAATGCTGTATAATCATGTAGAGATTTTCCTCTTATAGTCAAAAGATATGCAGGAACATCGGTGAAACACTGCAATTTTATATAGAACTGTCATTTTTAGAAACAAAGTACAAAATTGTTGTACATCATATACAATGAAGAGGGTTCATATTCAAATTTGCAAAACAATTATTTGAGTTCTTAATGACCCAAGCTTTTACATTGGCATTCAAGTGTTATGAGGATGTTTAATCATATCTTCCAATGTAAGGTGAAAATAAGGGTTGCATATTATTTAACAAAACCCTCAATTTTTCAAGATGCCCGGAAAGGTTTGGGGACTGTAAGTGTATTACATCCCATGCTCTCTTACACACTTCAACTATATTCTTCGATCTTTTGCAACCCATCTGGTTTAGCAGCTTTCACTGACCTATTGTGGCATGCCATTAGCAGTTGGAATGTCCCGTGCATCAATCACATTGAGAATTCTCTATATGATTACCTTCTATAGGAAATCTTCACTGAAGATGTACATTATCCTATTATCTATTAATTTTTGGAGTCTCACTGTGCCTATGGTGATTGCAACTTTTTATGGGCTATGAGTTAGCCATTGAAATGTCTTAGCGATGTCTTTGATCACTTAAATGTCTTAGTGTTTTTGTGTTGTCGGAAGTAATATATTCGTTACAAACAATCAAAGGGATGGAAGCATTTGGTAGTACAAAAATCGGGGATTCATGCTTTAGGTCTCTATGCATCACAGTTTATTGCATGTGGATCTTTGGTTACTAGCTGCAAACTAATTTTAACTGCAACCCTCCTACCTCCACCGCAACCCTCGTACTTTCACCATGGCCCTCCGCAGCCCTCTTACGTTCACCGCAGCCCCCCATCTTCCCCCCTCTTCCCTCTTTTTCCCTCTTTCCCTCTTCCCAGTTCACTGCTGCTAGGAGTTCATGTTCACTGCTGCAATAATTCGCAGCAGCCCCCCATCTCCCCCCTCTTCCCTCTTCCCCTCTTCCCTGTCACATTAGTTTACTGCTGCATTAATTTGCATGAATTCATTGGGTCTGTGCATTTTTTTGTATGAAATCATTAGGAGGTAGAGGTACTGCGCATGCATAAGATACAGCAACAGCAGCTGCCTTCTTTGCTGTAGTGAATAAGGATAATACGGATTATTATTGCTATTGCTGTAGTAATTAGTATTACATTTTAGTTTTTGGATTGACAAACTCAAAAAAGGATCCTGCATGAAAGTATAGTTATTTAAAGGATCCTAACAATTTAAAATCTTTTGGTGGAAATAAAGAAAAATATAAGGATGTCTTTGCAATCATTGATAAAAGATAAGAATGTCAACTTTATCATCCACTACATGAGGTAGGACATCTTTTAAACCTATAATTCTTTTATAAGAACCCTTCAATTGAGTTTGATTTAGAAATTGCAACTAGGTTATATTAGTGTATTGCAAGATTGGTTCCAACATTGAAGTTCAAGACAAGATCACAAATGAGATATCATTATATAAGAATGCTGAGGGTATGTTTGGAATTCCTATGGCAATATGATCAGGGGCTACTAAGTCTTTAGGTGTTTGTAATTTTATATAATTAACATTATGTAAGTTTTAAAAATATTTATTATTAACAGTTGAACTTAAATTTGCACCCGAGTGGTAAGGTTTATTTGGAAATAATATACCAAACTTACAGCGATTAGCCATTAAAATTTTGAGTTTGACTTATAATGCTACAAGTTGTGAGCGAAATTGGAGCGTTTTCGAGAATGTAAGTATCTAAGAATATTTTAATTTTAATTAATTAATTTTTTTATATATTGATATAACTAAATGAATTCTTAATTTGTATTTTATATATGACAGATTTATACAAAGAAAAGAAATCGATTGGTACATCGATGATTACATGACCTTGTGTACATCAAGTATAATCAAACATTAAAAGCTCATTATAATTCATGAGATAAGATTGATCTGATATCATCAGATGATATAGATGATTCAAATGAATGATTAGTGAGGGAATTGAGTACAAATTTGGAAAATGCTGAAGATGGTCTTGTTTTTTATATGATAATTTGACATAGGGAGATATAGTAAGGGCTTCAAGAGTTGGAAAAATAAAGAGTTACACGAGACAACTCATGAGAACAAAGATGAATGCAAAAGCCTCAAGCTCATCGATTGCAATTGTGGAAGAGGAGGAAGAAGCAGAATATAAATCACCTACAGAGGAAGATGGTAACAAGATTGAAGATGATTTGGATTTAATGATCTTTTGATGTTAATCTTGTTTTATTTTGTCAGTTTTGCTATTGGATATGAACAATGTAGTTTGGTACTTTAAATGACTGCAAGTTTGATGTGTTACTTTAGTTGTGTTACATTAGTTTTAGTTTGATGTTAATCTTGTTTTATTTTGTCATTTTTGTTATTGAATATGGACAATGTAGTTATGGTACTTTAAATTATTGCAAGTTTGATGTGTTATTTTAGTTTTAGTTTGATGTTAAAGTTGTTTTATTTTGTCATTTTTGTTATTGGATGTAGAAAATGTAGTTTAGTACTTTAAATGAATGCAAGTTTGATGCATTATTTTAGTTTTAGTTTATTATTATTTATCATGATATATAATTTTTAAATTATAATATTTGGGAGCATCTCGCTTCGCTTGGGTGAGCATTGTGCATCTTCGCTTCTCTTAAGTTATGCCAATAGTTTCCGATCTAACAAATGCTTATGTGCATTGTGTCATTTGTGAATATTTGTGCTTTAAGCATATATTTTTCTTTGGATTCAATACTTTTTGTTTTGGTTGTAGAATCTTTCAAGGTAATGCTTTTATGTGGCTCTGATCTACTAGAATCTTTTGCTACTCCTGGGGTCTGGATACTTGATCAGGTTTCTATCTCTCTTACCATGATATTGTTCTTTTGTTGATCAAAACTCAAGGAACTTCTAGAAACCTATGGCTGTGTTCATTTAGGAACCAATTTTATTTGGTTGATTGGAGAAGGATTTACATCAAATATACTGCAAAATTTAATGTGACCAAGTTTTTCTTGAGTAGTCGAGTTTAATGTGACCAAGGTTATTAGAATAACTTGCTTTTATTGATCAGTTAGTTTTTTGCACACCTTATGACTTTAGAGGTATTTTCCTTTTGATTTTTCGCTAATCTGACTATTGTAGGGTTCTTGTCAACTTTGATTCTTCAAATTTTTACATGCATTGATGATCTTTTGCCTGGACTTGCCAAGTCCCTTGAAAGTAACAAGATACCCACTAGCCAAGATTAGCTTTGGAACAATCCACCGTTCAATAGCTTATTTGAGACGTCCGGGAGATTCTTCCATTTTGAAAATGATACCTAACGTGGATGGTTGATTGGATTTTCAACTCCTTAGTTGAGTTCGGACTGTCATTTCACCTCTTTGGTAACTTAGTTGGTATAATATTCTTTTAAGTGTATTCGTCTCGATGGACCCTTGACTTTATATATATATATATATATATATATATATATATATATATTATCATGTATGGAGTCACCGTTCATCAGAATAAGAAAGTTAAAAAATAACAGAGGTATTATTTTCACCTCTTATGTAAACTCGATCGCAAGAATGATTTGAAAAATATGAGATCATATTTTCGCCTTCGGTTGAGAAAATAGTCTTTTTTTCTCAATCTTACAGAAATTATTCTCGGAATAATCCATAGTAATAACTTTACCTTACATTATTTTAGTTGATAGTGACGAACGACGATATCGTTGGGAGCCGCAAGTGAATTGTTGTGTACGAGGAGAGTAATGACGAGAAGTGAGGGTTGCTCGACAATTATATTGACGATGGATACGATGACGTACTCAACATCGAATTTTTTGACCCTAATTTTCTACGGCCACCGGATACGTCCATTGAGAGCTCGACAATCACTCTCTTGCTAGCCTTCTAAAGTTTCCCTTCCGATCGACGACAACCATGGTGAATATAACTCTTTCGACAAGCTCCCATCTCTCCTTTTTCATGCTCATGTTAAAACTGATGCAATAGCGAGGCTCTGGCAATCCTAGCTTTGGGTTGAGCGATCCACCCAATGAGTCAGTGACGAAGCAATCATCGTTTTCATTGTAGATGCCACGATAGCCACCACCATTTGTGTCGGCATCGACACAGTTACCGAGCTACAAAAGGACTATCGATGTAGATGTCGAGTGATCCTTTTGCTGCTCGACAACTATGTCGAGACAATATAGACGCATTATGATTCTCATATCTTATCATCACTCTTATCCATAACAACCACCCGTAGCCCCTAGCAAGGTCACCGTCTACTACCACCAATTGGAACGTTAAAATTATCTTTTTATTTTTTATTTTTATTGATAAAATCGATTACATTATGATAAATGAATCTAAATATTTAACTTTCGTAACTATAGGAAGGTCAATGTAACCTATTAAAATATAGATATCAATATACTAAAGATAACTAACTCCATGAGATAATATATAATTAGCCCTCTAAATAAAAAAAATAATTATATTTTTTTAAAAATATCCCACTTTCAATTTGTTATACATATATTATAGATAGCCTTGCGGTTCTCTTAAAAAGCATGCCATTTTCAATTGGCTCTACAGCTTACAGTAAATACATAAAAATGTAGTTGGTATTACAAGGAACAGAGCAGAAGGCAACAACTCTAATAAAAAACACCAAGCAGATATCAGACCAGATCGAAAAACAGTTCTTTTTATGGGAGATTGGCATAGCCTGCCGCTGTCATCAATTTGGGTTCAAATCCATTTTGGCTATGAAACCCACAGAATCCAAGACATCCAAGTTTCCAAAGAACCTCATCAGCCATCTCAAATCATTGATTCTAAAAGACGCCACAAGATTATCGCATCTAAATAACAACATGTGAAGAATCAGTCAGACTATTAAGAGACAAAAGTGAAGAATCGAATCACGTTACAGTACTAGAAGTTAACAAACAAATATGTTCTTGGATCCGGAAAAAATAAAGTATCTCACTCCTGTGAATTCTAAGAGTATCGGATAATTAGCAAAGCCAGATTCAGTGAAAATCTGTAGTGTTCCCTTTGGGTTCTCTACTATTATATTAGATGCTGAAAATTATCATTAGTCATCCAGTACTCCGTGAATCCCACCTTTCGGAGATCACCACACCATTATCTATATTTTCGGTTATTTGTTCACAAAGCGAGAAGTTTTGCATTCTCAATGACTCAGAAAGTCAGTCTGGGGATTCAACAATCTGGTAGGGGATCATTGAGATCTGGTATTGCAATGAAAGCTTTGCGCCCAGGTAGTGAAGAAGATTGAACGGTGGGTTGACATGATCCATGTAATTGAACATCCTCAAGAGCCATGTGAACAGTAGTAATCGGTAACTTCGACAACTCCAAATGCATCTTCTACACAAAACAAATCAATCTTAAGAAGCTATAATTCCTCAAATCTCATTTACAGTAAACATATGTGCAGCTTAGAATTGTAAGACGATGTGTTAACTAGTTAAGCAACATTATCAGGGAGGCTCAAGAAACGACATCACTAGAGCCTTCTTTGAACCTGAAGATTTTGGGTTCATCGTGATGGGTCCTTTTATGATAAAACAAAACAACAACCTTTAGAGAAATATCACATTATATGATTCATAAAGAAATAAAAACCGATCCTCTTTCAAAGAATCGGTTCACTTCTGTAGAGACAAGAAATGGAAATTCATCTGCTTTGAACTACAAATCTTGAAAGAACAATATGCCCACAATGGATTTATAGTTTTTATTTACTAAATTACTACAAATCTTGAAAGAACAATATGCCTACAAATCTTCAGACGAACCAAGGGTGATCATGTTTCAAAGTACATCGACCTTCTACTGATCAGATACTTATTTTGAAATACATTTCAGTAACTAACTAAACAGTACTTAAACTCGCATGAGGATCTCAGATGTATAGCTGGTAGGAGAGCTAATATATTCTAAATCTAGGAGAGATGGGTTGAGTTCACAGATATTATTCATAAGAAACTAATAAATACACTTTGTCCTATATTATCACATCCTTTACCAATAACAAACTAAAGCCAGCTGATAATGAAGACACATGAGTTCATTCCAGTAATTAGTCAAGATGCTACAATTATAACTCCATGTCCCATAAGCCTTCTACTCCCTAGTGGACTATAGCATCTATCCCCCTAGCATTAAAAACAAATTTTCAAACCCACTTTCCCTACACAAATGATCTTTACTGTCTTTTCTCACATTAGTTCTGTGGAAACTTGAGTCTGTTACAAGTGTAATAATGACTCGTGAACTTAAATTCAGGTGCATGGTGGAAGCCCCAAGTGAATTAAACACCAGGGGAAAGAGGGAATGGGATTCAAACTCGCACAAATATCAGAAGCCCAATGTGGCACCAAGCACATTAAGCAACAAGAAAGACCATATATCGATCTCAATTCAAGTGGAGCTAAATTTAGCTGTTTCCAGTCAGATGGCTATCTTCCCCAAGTGCAAGAATCAGACGGCGCACTAAGTGGGCTATACCTGAGATGCAAGATGCATGCAGTGCACACACAAAAAATCTGCATAAGCTAGACAACGTAGTTCAACTGCGGTATCAGACGGAACCCGTTCTGTTTCATGTCACACAGGTTACTACTACACTGCATAGTCAGCACATCTGCAATCTTTTGTGGGATGATGCTCAGGTCTGATGGCATCCGATTCAATGGACCCACGCAACGCAAAATAGGAAACATGTTAGGACAGGCTCTGCTGCACAGTAGTGCGTTAACCGTTCCCAGAAACTCCTCTCCTCCACAAGGTTCAGTTGATTTTTGTTTTGGCATGCATGTCCTGTCCTCCACTAGTAGGGTGGAACGCCGCTGTCCCACTCGGCAAATTCTCACAGACCAGTCTACCACTCGTGCTATACTACGAGGCATGCTAGCGCCGAAACATGCTTTGAATGGTTGGGTGAGCAAGAAGCCCTGCAGCCTTCAGATCCATTGCCGACTACAAACACGGAGGTTTTGACTGGGAAGACCCATATGAGTCACTAGGAAGGCAGAATTTTGGTGGGATGCATCATTGGTCAACAGCAGCCGAAACCACAGTTGACTGGCAGGCAGCTTCCGTGGCCCAGCGCTCTACACCGGTAGGAAGAATGCTTCCGTCCCGACCAACGAAAAATTGGCCCATTGAAAGAAGACATGACAGGGTACACCGTACCCACAGAACAAGGTAAGAGGGGAAAGTGCCGAAAGGGACGGAGACAGGCATAGGTTGTCGTGCTCACCTCCAGCTTGCGGTTATCAGCCCGCAGCTCCTCCACAGCCCTCCGCAAAACCTCCATGTCCTGCTCCACAATAAACCAGGACTCACATGTATCACGACATAACATATCCGAGGAAGAAGATGAGTAAAGGAATACCTTGTGAAGATTCGCCCGCTCCTCCAGCAGAGTCCTCTCTACCGCCTGCAGCTCCGGTTTCGTCTGCTCGCCGACCAACCCGAAGACAAAATCACATGCCATTAAATACCGTGCTGACTGTAACCCACTAAAAGAGAGCGGAACCAAAAAATAAAAAAAGACGACGCCGACATGCTCGAAGAACACGTCTCGTGACGGGAAAGAAAAGGGTCCACATTTGACGGATGCCAGCATTCACTGCTCACCAAACAGGGCAGGTCGGTAGAGAAAGAAAGAGAGAGAGAGAGAGAGAGAAATCGGCCCCTGGTCGTTGGCTTACCATTTTCCTCGATGCTGGCCGTCGGATGGGCGCCGAAACCGGGATAGACGAAATCAACGGCGCACGCAGGTCCGCGACCACCTGGGACAAAAAGATGAAAGAAGAGCGTCAGACAGAGCGTCCACGTGGCGACCCGCAGCACGCATAGCCGTCCAAAACGGATGAAGGACCGTTTTAATTATTAGTGACACGGCGGTATCAGTCACGCCCGCGGCACGGACACGATTGCGGGCTGGCATTTGCATCACACGCGCACGGGACACGATTAAAATCGAGAATTAGCGCAGCGAATTGTGATACACCCACGGATTTCGCTTTTTATATTAAACATAGTGGAATCATAACGACCCACGACGCTAGTCGCTCACCACCACGCGCGATGAAACAAACGAGCGGGGGCATTTTGAAGATTTCATGCCTGGTTTTCTTTTGTCCTACTAGTGATTTCGTTACCAGCCCAAAGAGACCTCGCATCTACCCGTCTTCTGATTGGGAGAACATAACTGCTTCTAATCACAGATAGTTGTAGGTGAGACGGGAGGGAATTTAATGGTTTCTTTTTCTTTTTTTTTTATCCCAATCTTTTGTGATGTATAGCACACGCACGACCAACGAAAAAGAAGTTGGAATGGAAGTGGGCCCACCTTCCCCCGTCGAAACAAAGAGTCAACAGAAAAGAATGCAGTCGGATGGATCGAATCCTTAAGAGGAAATCATAAAAAAGTTATGGAAAAATTACTTGGGATAAATTCAAAAAAAATCGAGAAAGTAGAGATCCGTCTTTCAACAAATTCTTGGAAGAAAACCAAATGAAGATACCGATCTGAGAGAAGAAACAAGTGATCTGATGGAAAAAGAGAATGAAATCCGAGGGCAAGGAAAGATCCAGAGGCGTTGGAGTTTACTCCGATTCGATGATGACAGGGTAGTATTCTCGTCATAAGATAAAGGCGAAAAAGGGAAAGGGACGAAGTGGGACGGAAGGGTGGCTCACCTTGGTGCGACCGTCTCCCGATGGGGTGGCGGGGAAGGGGGACATCGGCGCCTTCGGGGGCTTTTCCGCCGAGCTCGCCCCCTCCTCACCGTCGCTCCCCGACGCACTGCTGTATCCCTCCAGAGGCGACTGCGGGCTCGCCCTCCTCTTCCCCTTCCTCTTCTCCGCCGCTTCGTCCTCCATCTCCTCGTCCCGCGTCGCGGAGAGGATACGCGGGAGCCTCATCATCCGTGGTCTCTTGATCCGTCTTCCCCACTTCGGCAACGGCGCATCTGCCGCCGTCGCCGACGTGGACGGCTTCTCGTCGCCCTCGCTCTCCGGCTCGGGGCGCTTGCCTCGGCGAAAGCTGAGGAGGACGGTCGCGGCGAGACGGGGATCGAAAAAGGCGTCGTGCACCCATTCGTCGGGGTAGCCAGCGGCGGCGAAGGCGTAGACGACCATGGGAGACCGAACGAGACAACCCTAGCGAAAGAAAGGATGAAGCAAGAGAGAAAAAGAGAGAGAGAGAGAGGTGGGTGGAGGGTTGGCGAAGGAATGGGGGAGAGATGGGAGCCTCTGACAAAAGAGAAGACAGGAGTGAAAGCATATGGTCTATCGGCGTGTGTTTACTGCATATATACTACGGGGGAATACAGATGGCCCTTCGTAACTAAAAAGGTCTTTTTCTAGTACGACTCCATTATAATCGCTATTAAATAAAGGAGATATTCCCGTTTCGTTCACGTACCAAATATTTCACCCACCGCCATACCAGCATCGGCAAAGGGAACGTGGAGTCCACGGACATCGAGCCTCGGTCGCCCGCAGGCGAGGAACACGCAACTCCGTCTCACGAGGGGACCCCATGACGCTCTAACGAAAAGATGAAGGATTAAATTCAGGTCCCCAATGCGACGTCCCCAAGATATACTCGCAGAGGGAATCTCTACACCTGTGTCGTGGACCCCACTTAAACGCGTAAACTCGGTTTCAACGGGCCCGGCCCGTGACGATCCGACCCGACTCGATCCAATTGATGCCTATAAGAGCGGTTGAGGCTCGACGCGTGCAGCGCACGATCGTTACCCTTCGCGCAAGGGAGAGGCAACCGCTCCGCTCTTCTCTGCTGCCGTCTCCTCCCCCCTCCATCGTCATCAATCCCCTGCCCTATCGGCGGCCGTATAACTCCAAGGAGGTACATCCCTGTTCGCTTTCCGAACGATGTCTGTGTTCACTTGTTGGCAGACGAGGCCTGGTCAAGAACCCCACGAAATTTCTCATTTATGTATCTCCGATTTGTTACTTCAGGTTTCAGCATCTCGTGATGGATTCGGGTTTCGTCGATGTTCCTCTTCCCATGGATAAGATTTCCCTGAGCAGCGTTCAGGAATCCACCGGCCGGATTGGTATTCCGGAAAGGTTCCTGTTGATTTATAATCTTCCTTGTAATTTTGATGTTGTAGCTGGTATTTCTCTTTAGTTCTAAAAGAACCCTAGAAAGGAGAACCAATATCGGCATCAATGATGTGAAATAAGAGGATTAGATGGTTGGATTATAGAGTGGGTGATGAAGACCTCTTAAATTTAGGACATCTAAATTATTTCATTGCGTAAGTCAACTTAGTATGACCTCATACAAAGAAATTAGTCGGGAGTCTTCTCTTACCTATGCCGACTAATATCTGTTATGAATTCTTGTAAGATGACCTCGAAAAGTTTATTGAGATGTGATGCCAGCTGCTTAAGATATCATTGAGATATGCTACATCCACCACCTTTTCTTGTAGAGAACAAGTTGTGAAGGAAAAGGGGATGAGAGTAGAATTATTCCTTCTAATTTATGCAGTTCTGATACTTCAGAGCTAAACAGTCTGGTCCATATGAAATTTCCTTAGCCAGATGTCTTATTTCACCAAATTGGTGGATTCATATATAGAAACTTACAATTGGCAATGATAAAGTGTCAGTTGATCTAGTATAATTCACACAACATACAATGTTGTAATGACTCCTGAGGATTCCTTCAAAAACATACTAGTTTGTTGTAGCTTACCTTCTCAGTTTATTCTTTTATCGTACCATTTTAAGGAATTAAATTAAGCATTTTGAAACATGGAATCTTATACTCCAACCAAGTGCTGTCTCCACCTTATATATTAACTTCATTGCTAGTATATTCAAATAAAATGTCCCCATGGAATTCTGTTATTCTTAGAGAAGTGTTAATTTGGATGTTCTATTAAAGCTTCTGTTGCCATTGTTTATGGAAACATTTGCTGATCAAATAGATCAAACATATGATGCTTTCACCATCGCGGTGTATGTCATGTAGAATTGGAATAAATAATGCATCATGTGCTAAGTAACAAAATTAAAAAGGAAATCCAGTACATCAGGCCAGTGTAGTTTCCGGGTCTACATATGTTTGACAATCAAATAAAGAAAACATTGTAGTTTCGCATGCTTGTGTCTGCATACTTGTGGAAAATGTCATCAATATTTGACATCTCTGGATAGTCACTGCCTTTCTTCCAAATATGTGCTGAAACCTAATACTCATGATGAGCTTCTTTAACATGAGTTCCATGTTTTTCTTGTGACAATTGTAGGAATCAGATGTTTGTTGTTTTGTTATCAGCAGGAAGCTTCAATCCTCCAACTTATATGCACTTGCGCTTGTTTGGTGAGCCTTTAACAGAATTTATATGCATTTGTGCTTGACCATTGCTTCAGCTGAAGCTATTTTTCCTGATGTTCTGGCTTGATAAGTTACATTCCTTGTTTGTTATTAGAAATCTCACAATATTATGTCACTTGTTATTCTGCAATTGTAATACCAAATGCATGTAAGTAAGCACCTTATAGATTGTCTATTCAATAAGTTGCATGTGCATCCTTGTTTGGATACTGAATTGGTCATAATTATTGCACTCTTCTTGGATCTTTATATCTAACAGATTATAATGTATCCTAGAGTTGGCAAAAGATGCATTGGAAGCACAAGGCTACATTGTCATAGGAGGCTATATGTCACCTGCTAATGATGCATACAGGAAACAGGTGTAGTCTCTCACACTATCTATTGACGTATGCAGACATTCATAAAAACTCGAATTACGTTAACACGGTGTTCGTACTGGAATAAATTAGGAGCAATAATGGTCCAATTATTTTTTCCTGTGAATTATGCAAATCAAACAGATGTTTGGCAAAGATTTATATACACATGCATATATGTATGTATACATGTATATACATGTATATATGTATATGGAAAAAAAATTCATTAAGAGATTGTATTGCTATTTAGGCTTACGAGTTTAGAAAAGATTTTGTTATAGATCCATGTTTCAGTTATTTTCTATTTTTCATCAGAATATTAATTAGTTTTTGTTTTGTGAGGAAATTTATGTTTAAAGCATGGCTGTCAATGGCACTGATTTGGCAAGACCAACACTAGTATTAGTTTCATGTTTGAATCACAGCTGCTAACGGCACTGATTGTGCTAGCAAACATTGTGATTGATCTATCGCCAGCCTTTTCATGCATACATAACTAGTAGACATGTCTATCACTGGTCTGTGTATGGTAGTTTGTATTACGATTATGATGTGATTTTCCTTGACATGATCCAAGCACCTTCAGTATTCTTTACACTACGGCAAACTAGTATCATCATACAAGCAGAGATTACTTTAGGATATTGAGATTTGATAATTAGGTAATTCTCGAATTATCTTAAAATATCCGATCAATCACTTAGGGTTTTCATAGTCTAGTTACATTTTCACTTACCACACGTGTAGTACAATGAAGTTACATTGTTTTTTTATTATAGTTGTATCGCCCCATGCTTATAATCTAAGTTGTAGAGATTTTAACTTTTTCTTTTCCTCCTATAGGATCTTTTGCCATCCATACATCGAGTTCATTTGTGTGAATTAGCATGCAGAACTTCTTCCTTTGTCATGGTAGACCCATGGGAGGTAATATAAATTGAGGGATTCTGTAGCATTCATTTCCTATTGAAGAGATCAATTGGTTGTGTTATGGTGTCTCTTCTCATTCTTATCTTTTTCTTTTTTTTCTTCCGTAGGAATGTTTGTGCTAATTTGCTGAAAGATCTACAGCTGATTTTTCTAGGCATCACCTAAATTATTTACTGATCGCATGCAATATGTGCTTGCCTTTAGTTCCTCTGAACAATTAATTAAATATTTTGAATTAATGCTGTAGGCAAAACAAAACAGCTATCAGCGTACTCTTACTGTGTTGTCAAGGATACAAAGTTCCTTATGTCACAGTGGTTTGATTAGAAAAGGTAAGACCTTTTGTGTTGCAAAATGAGTAAGCTGATTTGTCTTTTTTTATTGGTATTGTAGACTAGTCATGTAACCATTCTAGGCTTCTGAATACTATTGGTAAATGATTTAATGATGTTGAATATTTTTACTTATGTTTTTGGCTAAATTATTGTGTTTTAGTTTCTTAATCTTCGGAGAGTTAAAATATAAACATTTTTGCAATAAGTTATGGCCTTAACCTTCTCTTAAGATATGCTGATAGTTCATGATCTAACAAATTCTTACGTGCATTGTGGCATTGTGAATATTTGTGCTTTAAGCATATATCTTTCTTCGGATCCAATATTTTTTTTTAATTTTGGTTGTAGAATCTCTCAAGGTAATGCTTTTATGTGGCTCTGATCTACTAGAATCTTTTGCGACTCCTGGAGTCTGGATACTTGATCAGGTATCCATCTCTCTTACTAAGATATTGTTCTTCTGTTGATCAAAACTCAAAGGAACCTGTAGTAACCTATGGCTATATTCATTTCGGAATCAATTTTATTTGGTTGATTGGACAAGCATTTACATCAAATCTACTGGTAAATTGTGGTTGATAGCATCCATTTCAAAAGAACTGTCAAAAAAAAAAAAAAAAAATTGTAGGAAAGGGTATATAGCTAACAACAAAGTTATCATAAGGCTGTTGCCGTGTTAGCTGTCGTTTTTTTATTATGCTATGCAGGCTTTAGCAACTTTGTTGGGTATGACCACCTATCAAATTATTCTTGCTGAGTTGGGTTGACAGTGAGAGAAAGAGCAAATCTACAATGGTACTTATTTCTTTCTAGGTCAGGACAATTTGTCAGGACTTTGGTATTGTTTGTATACGCAGAGAAGGGAAGGATATTGAGAAGATAATATCAACTGATGAGATATTGCAGGAAAATAAGGTACTTAAGCTAACTAAACTTGTAGATGGTTTGTCTATTCTGAAATATATTCGGTCCACACTGTCATCTGCTCCTAAGTATATGTTTAAATTGGATGTTTTCAGAATAATATCTTCTCGGTGGATGAAATTGTACCAAACCAGATCAGCTCAACAAGAGTGAGGTAACAATTGAGTTGGTTGATCGTTTGTATCTACATTAGGCTTTGACTAATCTTGGCTTGTGATAAAAGCAGAGATTGGACTTCCAACTTGGTTGATGACAGATCTTTGCATGTAGGAGGACTAAGGAATCGTTTCTTCTTTTTTCCTTAATTCAGGGATTGCATTAGAAGAGGGCTCTCTGTTAAGTATCTCACTCCTGATGAGGTCATTGATTACATCAAAGATCAAAAGCTCTACGTAAGTGAGTGATTCTTGATGCTTTCCTAGAACCTCTCAAGTCAAGCAAAATGGTGAGAAGTGGATCAGAACGATGTTATTGTTCTCATGCTCTCAGAGTGTTTGAGATCACAAACATAAGCAGGGATCTGACTTGGAATAATCCCCTAGGATTATGGAAGTTAAGACGGATTGTTGTAGTATATTATTTGGCTAACGCTTTTTTCTTTTTTTGCTTTCGCTTGATGAAATCAAGAATCAGGGTTCTTGATGGGTTAACAATTTGCTGGTGATGCATCTTCTTGTAAGGTGGACGGGAAGAAAATGAAACCAAAAAAGATCACAACTATTCACCATTATCCACAAAAAGAAACCAAGAAGCACCATCATCAGTATATAGCATTCTTCTAAGGTGGACGGGAAGAAACAGCAGGAGAAACAAGCTATGGAAGAAGACATGTTTCTTCGGTTAGGAACCGTACCTGCAAGATGAGGTGAGAGGAAAACCTCCTTCCTTTCTCGGATCACTAATTCATGACTTCTTGCTAAAAATCTGTGCAGTCTCCGCATCCAAACCAAACACCAAGCCGACATAATTCTCCATGGACCCAACAACGGGGTGGCCCCGCAGCTTGAGGAAGACCATGGCCGTGACGAAGCTATCGGAGCCGGCATGGTGGGCGATTCCGACCCTCTCGATCCCCAACAAGGTAGCTAGCGAGTTGAGGCCTCCGTGGAAATTGTCATTCAAATGGATCACGCGCTTGATGTCGTACAAGAGGGGGAAGAACTTTTGGAGGATTTCGAAGAACCCTTCCCGAGTCTCCGGCAACGGCTTACAAGTGAGGATCTTTAGCAGGTACGCGAAGTCAAAGGCGCTTTGGAAAGCTACCCAGTAGACGGAGTCGTCGAGAACGGTGCCGGAGGGGATGAAGAGCTCCGCGAACAACTTCACGTCCACACCTTCCTCCTGGTTCTTCTTGAAGTCCATCCCGGTTTTCTCGAGGAATTTTACGGAATGGGCGGAGGAGGGGTCGCGGCCGACATCGAACTCCCGGAAGTTGAACTGCCAGACGATGGGGCGGCCGGAGTCGGGGGAGGCGGGGAGGCTGCCCGCGGCGTTGAAGAAGGTGAGGCCGAGCTGGAGGAGGTGGAGGCGGTCGACGTTGGCGCGGACGTACTGGTAGTTGGCGTCGGCGAGCTCCTGGAAGGCCCCGGTGTCGTGGATGATGACGCCGGGGAACTCGGTGTCCATGGCGATGAAAGGGAAGTCGCCGACGATGTTTCGGATCACGTAGATCTCAGATTCGAGGTTTCTGGCCCACACATCGCGGATCTCGACGTCGCCGTTCTCCACTTTCTCTTTCGACATCTTGCGCCGGGGATCGGATCGGCCACGGAGCTGGGGAGGGGGCGCAGCATATGAAACCCCGGGAGGGCGAGCCAGAGAGAACCCTCGTTCTTGGCGGAGAGAGGATCGAAACCCAAGAATCGCGAGAGAGGAACGGGGAAGTGGGAGAGATGTTTAGGGTTCTCGAGAGCGAACGAGCGAGAGAGACAGAGGAGGGATGAGAGGAAATGGAGGGAAAGTTGGGCGGGTTTAAATAGATATTTCAAAGAAGGGGAATCGAGAGTGCCGAGAATCGCGTTTCCGACCGCCATCACCGACACAAAATAAATCTGTGTTTTCTTTAGCCCAAGAAAATAAATTAAATAGAGCAAACACCATTCGCACCCGCTAATTATATACCCTATCAACCTAATCGCTTCATGATTGGAGGCAGCGATAGGATTTCCGTGGGACCCTCTTGTGTGGGAAGTTACATGATGCCTAAAACGCCACTCATTCCAAATAGCGGAAAAAGACTCGGTTGACTTAACATGCGTTGTTTGATTGACACAAAACACACACTTCGTCTTTTGATCTGCTCGGAGGAGTGGGAAACCGTGCTTCGGTTATTGCCAAGTCAACGTGTTGACTTTCTAGTCAACATATCGAAGCAGAGGGATGTCAGAGATGGCCCAAGGCTCTAATTCTCCAACAAAGAACGAGGAGGAGGGCAGCAGCAAGCATCGTCACCAACCTGACCTGCTTAATGACTAAAAGCTCTGCAGTACAGCAAACATCAGAAGGACAAAGAAGAAAGATCGTGGCGTCACCTTTTGACACTACTCACTCTACAACGTCAAAGTGGCCCGAGAAACTTTCACGTGATACATGTCAATAATGATGGGGGCAGATAGATCAAGATAGATCTGCATTTTACTTGCTCTTACCATGCGGGCAGGCATCGAGGAATCTGAACCATCTAAGCTGCAACAGTGACCTCTTCATCTTGGATGCATTATCAAGATCAATCCGCAGCATCACACCGTCTCTCACCATGTCACAGAACACCAGCAACGGCACTCCAGGTTCCAGCGTTTCATGCAAGATCTCCTTGCTCTTCTGTGCCACTCCAAATCAACCAATGATGAGAAGACTTCATGTTCTCTCTCTCTCTCTCTCACTATCACACAAATTTACCTACGAAAAGGAACAAAGATGTTTTCAAGGTCAGTACCTTTTATCGCAAGTGTCACAATTTTCCATCAAAATGTTGATTGTTAGAGAAAATAAAGAGAAACAAAACTGGGTTGGTTAAAGCTTACAGAAAGCATCTCTTCTTCGTGTTGTAGTGAAGGTGAAGCAAGCATCCCTGTGTCCTTCCACCAAGAAACTTTGATTTCTTTTTCAACAAGCCTTTTCCTGGTGAATTCCAGCGCAGATTCTAACTCTGCAATCCGTTCCTCTTGTCTCGAGCATATAAGTTCGTACAACCTTCTCTCCAGTTCGCTTGCAGGAACACCACAATGAACATTGTGGTTTTCATCTGAAGGTTCATGACTTTCAGAAGTACTTGCCTCTTCATGGGCTAACTATACATTTGGAGAAGAAAATAAAACAAGATCAACCAAGAAAAAATGCATATCGTGATTTAAATAAATTGTATCTCGCAGTTATGAAAGTAACATTCCGATCAGCAAACCAGAATTCTTCAGAAGAGTAGTACCTCTATTCTCTCTTGTTCTGAGAGTTTCATAGAATCCTTCCCTCCTAAGCTCAGTTGCAGCTGCCCTAGTTCGAATGCTAGCTCTGCTTCCAGTTGATCCATACTTCGGTTCTCATTGTCAAGCTCATTATTTGAATGCCTATCAGATTCCACAGTTGACTTCGCCTCTTCCATATGAAAATCTGCCCTGTGATTTTGGAAGAAGATAGGGTTGTATTCACTGACATCCCTGCTACAATCCGATAATGAAGAGACAAAATTATGGTTTGATCTTATGATGCCAAAACCAGTGTCTTTCTTTGGAATTTCTTCTTTAATTTCTTTGAGCAACATTTCCATTTGAACCCGGAGCTCTGTCATTTTGTTGAATTCGGTGGACCACCTGGACAGTGCGAGAGCCATACCTATTCCCATTCCTAGGTTAAAAGATACCTCTTCAGGTTTCCTAGGTCCTGCAGATCAAGGATGTGATCAAACCCAGAGGCCATCGAATGGTAACACAAAACAGGGAATTAAAGGAAAGATTTGATTGAAGAAGACGCTAAGTTAAAATCAGAGCAATACCAAATTTTAAGCTGAAAAATGGCATACACAAACTATAATGCCAGCAAAGTCAAAAGGATGAGTTATAATTTGAAAGCTGAAAAATGGCATACACAAACTATAATGCCAGCAAAGTCAAAAGGATGAGTTATAATTTGAAAGCTGAAAAATGGCATACACAAACTATAATGCCAGCAAAGTCAAAAGGATGAGTTATAATTTGAAAGCTGAATATCTTGCTGGGAAGTTCTAGTTTCTGTAGTTCAATACGCAATATAAGATCTACGACTTTCCTTCATTATGGATGAGTAACCTCTTTTCACCAACTAATTTTTTTCCCTAATGCAACCTTTGGTTCACTTGTTGCAGTTATATTCCTCCGCATTTTTGCATCTATGAAAATGAAGAGAATAAAAGGAAATATTATCATCTTCATTTGAGAGGAGAAAAACCTCAAGGACTTCCACAGTCAACAAAATGGATGGGAACTGAGATTATAGAAAGTCCACCCTCCACAGAAAATTCAGAAACAGAGACCCATCAATATGTGGAATTAGTTGCGCTGGCAGCACTTCTTGAAGTGTTTCAACAATTAGAATTACTAGGTAGCATAAAGGCATACTAGTCAGAATTCATTCATCGCATCCAAAACAACCACAACTCCATGAAGACAACAGAAGTAACCCTTGCACAAGTCTTTCCTAACCTAAGTTCTTCCACACCATAAAGAGTAATACAGAAATAAAAGGAAAGGGGAAGTGTGGGTGTATGTTAAACTCTCCCTCCTTCCGGTATGAAACTTAGATGAGAAATGGAGAGGAACTGAGAGTAATAGAAAGCATCTCTCCCCCACTTTGATCCTTATTTGGTAAAACAGTCCTCTGGTCAGTTCTTTTCTATTATCCTCTCTTGTGATTGTTCTCTTCTTTGTTCTCCTTTTGAACAAACAATTGTGATAAGAAACAAGAAAAGAGGTGCCTTAATCAGAGCTAAACATCAAAAAAAGAAACCCAGCAGAGCAGGAAAGCATCAAAACTTGTGAGAGACTACTAAGATCACACTGTTAGGTCTCACTTGTGGGCATGTTTCACCAAAGGTAAGTTTTTGGAGAGGTTCGACACTCCTTTTGGTTAAAGCCCCGCGACATTCTTCTAAGGTGCACCAAACATCAAACAGTTAGCCTGCAACTAAAATGATGCAAGAACTCGAGGCGCTCGATCTCCCAAACGTACCTGCGGGAGGGTCCAGCGAGCGGACGCAATCCCTTCCGTCGATCCCCTCAGCCATCTTCGACTTTTCTTTTGCATCATCCTTCTGCTCCGCTCCTCTTTCCCTCCCCTTCATCTTCTTATGAGGTGACGGTACCGTATGGCCCGATCCCGGTCTCGTCTCTCCACCGCGGCTGCAGAGCGACGGCTTCTGGAAGGGAAAGAGCCGCCACCTAGGGAGGAACTTCCGCAGGGGGCTACCCGAAGAATCGATACAGAAAAGGTCTCCCCTTTGCGGAGACCCGACATCGCCCAGTACGTCGTCCCCTTCGTGAGGCTCGTGGAGGAAGTCCACGATCCGCATCTTCCCCGTCTCCCTCTCCGGAGGAGGAGCATCAGAAGAGGCGGCGGCACCTGCACCGGACGTGGGGCTTCGGCTTCCCTTCCCGTGCCGCCTCGAGGACTCCACCATGGTCCGGAGTCTGACCTCCTTCACCAGAGTAGTGGAATAAGAGCGCGCGCGAGGGAAGCAGAAAAAGACGGAGGCGTGGCGGTCGTCGTACCACCGTCGATCGCGGGGCCCATGCCAGTGGACGGCTCTGATACAGGAATTGTCTGCTTTTAGAACCAGGGTGGCCACTGGAGACGATCCTACGCCTCTGCAAAGGACACGTCAGACAGGTATTTATGATGATGTATATTGATTGCCGGCCACGCGAAGTTTCTGATTTGAAGAGAAAGAAAACAAAAGATGGCAAATACTAATACTAACAATAATAATAATAATTAATTTGGATGGGTGTGGACTGCTAATTTGTTCACAATAATATAGGATTTCCAATAGCATATGGTGACAAATCTACCAACCTTGCATCATTGTGAGCCCACAATTTTATGGAAGTATTTGCATGGAATTCTTATCCATAGAAGCCCCTGCATGATGACATGAAAGCAGCGTGCTAATATCAGCAGCAAAGTTTGGACCGTAGACTCACGGGGGTACACAAAACCAAGTACCAAAACTTTGACACATCATTGGTATGATTAAACTTTGCCTAATACATTTCATTGGTATGTTGCCTTTGCATGTTAATAAATCTTTAAGGAACATAAACTATAATTTTACACACACACACACACACACGCAAGGACTTGGGTTGGGCTTACTCTTGCAGTGACCCAAAAATGGTACTGGACTGGATTAGGTTTCCTAGGATTCGGGTTGGGTTATAACTCGAAACCCAAACTCAGCAGTGACCCAAAGTAACTCAAGCCCAATACAGTTTCGAAATACACAATATTATGTTGTTTGATATCATATACCTTCTAAGATCATAGATTTTGACATATTAAAGTTAATAAGGATGATTTGTCTTTCCTCACGTCTCTAATATTTCAAACTCCGAGGACTTAAGTGAAGATTTAGCTAAACCTGAATAATCATCCAAAGCGTTAAATGAAGTATCACATTCCAAAAATGTAATTAGAATCGTAAGATATCCCACCTTTCTCGGTCACCAACCCCTCAGAATCATGGACGATAAATGGCTCATTGGTGAAAGCAATGACAACATCTGTGATGAATCGTCGTGTATGCATGATGGCAGTATACTGAGAAATCAGAATCTAGTCAAGGAAATATAAATTTTCATGGAAAACAAGAACTGACAAGTGGATCACTTACCTTCGACGGCTACTGTGATCTTATGGCCAACAGGCTACAGTCCACCATGAACAGCCTTCAGCATCTGCAGTTTCTTGGATCTACTTTTCCCTGGCTGGGGCAGTCACTGGACATGATTGATTGACACTTTTCACCATGGCCCCATTCGTTGGATGTCCCAAGTGTGTGCAATCCCCAAAAGGCTCTCAAAGCTTGGACTTGGACATGTGCCACCTTCTTGAAACTTGCTTTGATAACCTTGGGGTCATGACTGACCCCACCAAAAGAATGAACGTCAAAGCAGATGCTCTCTCTCACTGATGTTAGTTTTAACTCCCTGTTGCTGATCTAAAGAATCCAATGATAGCAGACCTCGTGCATGATTCTCTGTCATCCGCATGAATTAACAAAGGAAGAACCACTCCCAGCATGCACGACAAAGGATTATACATTAACAAACTCCATCTCAGTATCCTCAGCAGCAAATTTCCAACCCCACCACTTTGGTAATAGAGAAGAGAGGACGGTAGAGACAGGAAAGAGAAAGGGAGCTTTCCGACAACATCTACCTTCCCTCGACTCATTATCCATTCCTTCCACTTAAGCTTGGAAGCAACTGAGAGAAGCAGGGGATGCAAGGAAGCAGTAGGAGAGTCTCAACAAGAAACACTAAGTCGAGGATGGATGAAGCTAGAAGCGGAATCAAGGTCATGGCCGACGCAAAGATACACAAACACGATAGCAGTGCGGGCCTCCGGAGGCTGACGAGAAACCAAAGTGACAGTGTCGCCTTCGAGAGGAAAAAAAGAAGCAATTGTCCACCATCGGACAAGGAGGAGAATGGTTTGATTGGTAGAAGTCCGGTCAAGCTCCGAAAGACCCAGTCGGACTTGTCGAACTCTCCCAAGACTCCGGTTGGGAATTCGCTCAACATCGGAGGGGAGGAAGAAGCGCCGACAATTGGTGATGACACTGAAGTGGCAGTGGTGATGGAGGAGGAGGAGGAGGAGGAGGTTGAGACCGAGACAGAGGAGGGAAAGAAGAGCTTTGTCGACAAAGAAATGGATCAGCCAGATGACAAACCAAAGACAGTGCAGGAGGAGGAGGAGGAGGAGGAAGTGGAGGAAGAGATTCCTGCGCTGTCACAGGAAGAAGAAAAGAAGCAGAATCTTGTGAGTATGTCACCAATGGATATTGTAGAAAAGAAGCAGAATCTTGTGATGGATTACAGGGCAATGAAGCCGGATCCAGCAGTGATACCTCAGTGTAAGCTGTCGTTCTTGATGATCTCAACAATTCTGATGCTGTCTCCTTTCAATTCTAACAATTCTGATGCTGTTTCTGATCAGTTGATGCGGAAGAAGAAATGTTTCAGAGCACCTGCATCAAGCACAACCGAATCCAAAGCATCGGTAAGTAATCATAATCGATCTGTCTCTTGGAACAACTCAATAAATTTTCTCTTGAATTGTGTCAGAGAATTTGGTTATGTGGAGAGATGTGTCGAGATCAGCCTTCGTGTTCGGCATCGGAACCTTCTTCCTCGTTTCGTCTTCCTATGCCAAAGACATCAACTTCAGGTCAGAACACAAATGCTCAAGCTACATCCTTCAAGGATTTCTCAACAAAATATGTGAAGACTTTTTCTACCGTGCAGCCTGATTTCAGCAAGTTCATATGTTGGACTTGTCTATCTTGGATTTGTTTTCCTCTGTACGTCCTTTATGCACAGGTAAACCCCTCAACATTTGCAAGCAAAGTCAACATGGAAATGACATGATTTCCTGCACCAAATTTCTGACAGTTTTTATCATTTTAAATTGAATCACAGAGGAGAAACAATGCGGTATGGTGATGGAGATGAGAGGTGTGTGGTGGGAGAAGACGACGCAATCTGGCTTCTAAAGATGCTGCTTCCTTATATCAATGAGCTACTTCTAAAGTTCAGAGGCCTCTTCTCTGGGGACCCAGCAACAACATTGAAGGTAGGATTTTTGGTTCTGCTCTCAGAATCTATTCCATGCATATTGTCTTTAGACAGGCAGAGATGTGTGATATTAGTAACGCTGCTATGGCAGTTGGCAGCCCTGCTATTTGTGATGGCAAGGTGTGGGAGCACCATCACAGTGTGGAGTCTTGCAAAACTGAGTAAGCTTAGGACATGGAGAACAAATAACATGAGTTTTACTCTGCACTGTAAAAAAAATATGAAAGCAACAGTTTGACTAACCTGCTCTGGTATTGATTTGGTGCAGTATTCTTTGGAGTCTTCACCATCCCAAAAGTGTGCTCTTCCTATTCCACTCAGCTGGCAAAGTTGGGTTAGTGGATGCTTTAACACACTTGCATTAAAGTTGCCGTAGATTGATAAAGTGATTGGTAACTCTCTAGTTAGTCTAGAGGGGCTTTTATTTATCCTTTAACTTTGACTATACCTTTAATGATGACTTTGAAGTAGAATCCAAGCCAATCTTTAATCCCTCTCCACCTGCACTGCTGTCAGGACTGTTGGGTCTGATGGAGACAAACCAAATAATGTGCATGTGTCTTAAACCCATTTACCTCAGAGGTGGCCAAGTGGATTTAGTTACCTTTGGTGCAGGAGCACGCATGTGTCTCGGGCTGCAGTCAAGCAGGCTGCATGAGACACTTGCTCGCAGTCACATCTGCATCAGAAGCTCCTGCACATGAATGCCAAGATAATTTAGAGAGAATTTTTTCATAAATAATGCTAGTTCACTTTTGTGCAATTTCTTATCAGATGGAAATTTGGAATGTCTTCAATTTTTCTTCCTCTTACAAGTTTATTCAAATCAATCATCCATCAATCATTTTGGTTAATTATTATATTGGGACTACCCGACTTTAAAGCAAAAGGAAACAATCAGTCAAAAGTCCAGAGAAACAACCTGTATGTGACCCATTCCAAAAGCGTCCAAACTTCGTTTTTCCTGGTGCATTGGATCCTTTGTGTGACTATTCCCGTTAACTTTCGGCATCATCATCATCATCATCATCATCATCATCATCATCATCACCTCTCTCATTTTTCATCACACTAACCGAGTAAATTCTGTGGGATTCATCTAACCCAGATGTGCACCAGAATCCAAGCAAGTAAAAATAAATGCATCTTAAGACTGCAGTACATATATAATGAACCTTGGTCTCACCAGGATGGCTTGCTGTAAATGGTGTAGGCAAGTTTTGGCTGGATAGGCTTAGAGATGGATGGGAGTCATGCACCCACAAGAGAGCTGCCGCCGCTGCCATCTTCGCCCTCATCTGGAACATTTCCTCAGCTGTTGCTCGCATTTGGGCATGTAAGCACCCTCCACATGTTTGTTACTTAGTCTCCTCAAAGATTAAGAAGAAACCTCCACGGCTGTACAATAATAGTTTCCACTTGTTGTTCTGTTCTGAGGCAGTCTTCATGCTTGTGGTGGCTGTGAAGCTCTACCAACAATGCACAGCAGAACACAGCTGGAATAACCGGGAGGAGGAGGAGGTGGTAGAGGAAGAGGAGGGACAAGAAGATTCCATGGCAGGACAAAACCAGGAACTTGGATTACACCGACAAAGAGGTGGGCCAACTAGAAATGAGGTGGAGAGAGTGGCTGTAAAAGTAGATCTAGGAGAAGAGGCCGGAAAAAGATCCAAGTGATGCTGGCAGTCTGACACAGAGGACAGCAGACAGATCAGGAGAGGAAGGTGGGAGTCATCTTATAATCTTATCAAGGCATCTTCTGCACGGTGACGATTTCTTGTAATGTGGTGAAGGCATCTCCAACCGACACATGCTATGCTTTCTTAATCCCTCCCCACAGTGAAACACCATGTGCTATATCTTAGCCTGATCTAATAATAACACTGTAATTCCTCTCTGCACGGTGGTTGGTTTTCAAGTCAACTCTGTACAGAAGTCCTGTTTGGTGAAAAGAATCTTAAACTTTTTGCAGATAACATACTACAGATATGGCATGACCCTATCTGATGTGTTCGTCTCCATAAAGCCAGATTGTGCAGCACTGGTAAGGAGCAGCCTAACTGTGGCACCAAGGCTCGCCTGCCATCTGTACATAAAAGAAGAGAATGTCAATATCTATATCCTACATTTTTTCTTAAGATTCTCTTCTCATAGAAGCAAAATATAATATCTAGGAGAGAGTATTAAGAAGTTCAATGAAAGAAGAAAGCCCAACCAGAAGGATTGACTAAGGACCTAAAAATCCAAATGCAGATCTTGTCCCAACAACTCACCCTCCCCTCACAAGATAAGAGAAACTTTATTCGAGACCTTAATGGAATGAGAAACAGGAATACATTTATTTTCATCAGGTTGACAATTGAAGGATAAGGAGTTTCTTTGGGCAAACTGTTTCCTGCGACCTAATCTAACACTTGGAAAAATGCTATCGAGAGAACAAGGAACATTATCGTGTTGGGCCAGTCTGCACGCAAACTGTGTTTGTTGGCAAACACGTGAAAAGTACCAAGACATGTGGAAGTGATCCAGAATTATTGGTTTATGCTACACTGCTACCGGCCATGGATCATTATGCGTGCTGTAGCTCCCGTAGGAAATATAGATAACAATTTAGGGCCCATTATCTATTTTTACCGGCATAACTGGGGTATCTACATTAGCAAGCATCCTCCTCTGAAAAGTAAATGAAAAAGAACAACAATTTTCGGAACAAACAACAAAAATACACTACTAAATGCACCAAAAACATTTATATTGCTACTAAAGAACTAATGAAGGCTATCATAGAGGAAGTCAAGTTCTCCAGATAAATATAATTTTGCTATTGACATCTCTGGGTTCAGATATTCTTTTTCTTTAGAGAGAAATCATTCCCTTAGCATAAACATTAGAGAACAGACATACCTCTGAATGTTGAAACATGACATGCACCCTAAATTTGAAAATACTTTCATCATGCTTTTTTTGTAATTGAAGTTCATGTAAACCACCTCTTAAGTTGCGTAATGTGACAAGTGGTATCCAAATTCTGGAGCTATAAAGACAAATATCAACAAACAAGAGTTAATCACTACCTCTCTTTTTGAAGGGGCATCACTCATGCAACAAGAATTAACTAAAGTTGCATCACTCATGTAAACCAACTCTTAAGCTGCGTAATGTGACTAGTGGTATCCAAATAGTGGAGCTATCAAGAAAAATATCAACAAACAGGAGTTAATCACTACCTCTCTTTGTGAAGGGGCATCACTCATGCAACAAGAATTAACTTAGAAAATTTTGCCAAGTGAAAAACCACACTGAAGAATGCATATGTGAACAATTAGAATGCATAGTAAGCTCTTAGCAATACCTATTTCCATAAGTAGAAAGTTCTACAAGACATAAGTTCATGGTAGAGGTTTTGATACGAGCTTACTAAGCACTTGGATTCTTCATGGATGAAATGGTCAAACTGAGTAAAAGAATAAGATGCAGGCTCTAATCAATGAACATTATAAAGTTTTAATGACAATCGATTATGAACTAAAGTAGCTTTAATTAGACAAAAACTACATTCATTGTTACCAAGAACAAATACAAAATGCATCTCTGGCCGCAAATGCATCAAGTTAAGCACATTCCTTATAGGTCTAAATTGAAGATTCCAAAACAATGTAATAAGAGATATTTGTTTGGTGTAGCAGGATGTGACCAAACTGGTACAATTCTGTGCAAGGGACAATAACCTGCTTGACATTTGGTCGCACGATAGAATCATACCTAATTCACTGCCTAAAACCAGGTATATATGCCTGGATATAAAGATGTTACCTATAAGTGTAACCGGTGTTTGTAAAATGGTGCTCGGGCGCTCGCATAGGCGCTCGTGCAAGGTGAGACGAGGCTCGAGCACCTCGTTTAAGGGCCAGGTGACACGCTTCAAAGAGGCGCCGCCTGGGCGCTTGCCCGAGACCAGGCATCGAGCGCTTTGGGCAAGCGCCTGGTTCAACTAAGCGAACTGAACCAAACTTTTAAGTTTGGTTTGGTTAAATAATATAGTTTCTTACCTCAAAAGCCACCCTTCACGCACGCGCGACCTCGAGGAACCCTAGCGTTGCTTCTACCTCCGTCGTTGACGCTTTCTGTCATTGCCTCCGACACAAATATAGTGGACTGAACCTTCCTCTATCGCTGATGGACGAGTCTGACGGCCCTTGTAGCTTCCCTCCGTTGTCGCTCCGTGTGCAGTTCATTCCACTGCGAGGGAGTGGACCGTAGGTTCCTTCGCCACCGACGAACGCCCTTTGGAGCTTTTGTCGTTGTCACCACTGTTGTCCGCAGCTTCTGTCGTTGCCGCAGCTTTCGCCGTTGTCACTACTGTTGTCCGAAGCTTTCGTCACTGCCACTGCTACTATCCGCAACTTCTGCCGCTGCCGTCGTTACTGTTCGCAGCTTCCGCTACCGTCATTCATAGCTCTACCACAACAATCTTAAACTAATCCTATATTACTATTAACATTTTTTTTCTCTTCTAACTACTGTTAACATTATATTTTTAATTTAATATCATTTTTATTTAAATAATTATATTTTTATTACTATATAATATTTTTATATTTTTATATTTCAGAGCGTCTCGCTTTGTTCGAACAAGTGCTTAGCGCCTCGGATGTTTTGAGACCTTGACACCTAGCACTTTTTAAATCACTGAGTGTAACCTAAGATTTAAATGCCAACTTGGAAGCTTAAGACTATGAATAAGCATTGTTGAGAAAGATATCAATATCATGTCCCTTAAGATATCAATTACAAAAAAAAGGTTCAATATAATTTTTTACCTATCCTAAGGGAAATACAAAAGCACAAAATGTGTCAAAACAAATAGAAAAGAAATTGCATCCTAACATCGAGAAATAAAAACATACCACTTGAAGTTGAATGCCTCCAGCAGAAAATAGATACCATAGACAAATAAGATGCCTGAAGCTCTTTGATTTGCTTCTTCATGTAATTTCTTGTGAATTATGACAGTAAGTCTGAAGTACAGTGACAGCCTTGCTTAAAAGCCTTAAACTTCTCAATCTGTGGAGTCAATGTATTCAATTAATGGAGGCGGCAATTATTTTTTTTGCTTCCTATTTATTGATAAATAAATAGGATGCTTCCTATTTATTGATAAAGGAGTTTGAAGATAATGGTTTTCCACTTTTCCTGCTACAAAAACATTGTTGTTAGGACCTGTCATGAAAACCGTCGGTTTAAGCTTCCTAGTCGTACACTATTAATCACTGAGAAAAGAAACCAAAAACAAATCCTAAGTTAGTATTGCATTATATTATCCTGGTCAATAAGGAAAGCACATCAAAGTACATAAATACTAGGAATTGGAGTAGATTGACATGAACTTGTATTCAATCAGGGAATTGAAGTATCATTTTCAATGTCTAATAGAAATAAAGGCAACAAGTTAAGAAATAATTGGAGAACAAGCTATAATGAATAGAACTACTTAAACCATGAAAAATGAATAAACATTAACAACACATGAAAATAAGAGATAGCATATTCTTTGCACTGACAAACTACTTTAGGCAATTGCAGAGACCTTATAGCTAATGTTAGACAAGCTGAACATTTGATGTATAATAAAAAATATGGATACAAGAGCCATAGTTTCCCAACTGTTTGGGGTCACCTTACATGGATTTCTTCCTGCAATTGTGCTCTGAGGGCAAATATTATAGGTCAGACCAAGAGCCAGTAAATCTCTTATTAATGTCTCTAACAATGTATTATTGTGTCTTTCTCTGCCCCTCCTCCCACCATTATCGTAAGTCGTAACTGGTGCATCTGATAATACATGGGTAAAAACACAACTAGCAGTCATAGCAACATAGAAGTCCATTTCATGTGTACGTAATGAGATGAAAGGAAGGAGAAACAATACATAATTGACTTCAATTTAACTGCTTTTACGAATCCATCCAAAGTGTAACTAGATGTCCCTAGTGATTCAAACATAAAAGTTGTGTACTAGAAATCCATACTCCATATCAATATACCTTTTGGATGTCCCAAGACACGAGTAAGATGAGCGACTCGAGATCAAATTCTGACACAAACCAAAACTGATGGATCGATGTTTAGAGTCCAAGAAAATGGTCCTCCTCCATGATGTAAGTGCATTCCAAATTGGAAACAAGCGGTCCAATCGGCTCTGCCGGGAAGGACCGAAGTCCTAATCTCCACCTGAGGCTGACACGCAAATCGGTTCGGATTAGGGATTACCTTCTTCCAGAACCAGGAGAACATTGGGGCCGAGCCGGAGGAGGGGGAGTCGTGGAGCTGCGAGGCGGCAAGGAACCGGACGGCGACGGAAAGCAGACCGTGTGCGGCGGATGAGCATGATCGGTTCCAAAGCTGATCGAAGCCGGAACCTCCGCGGTGGCGGTGGCGGCGTCGACCACGGAGAGGGCGGAGGAGGGCGCGTCGTGAACACAAACTGCTCGTGCATCTCAACCTCGACTTCCATTTCTACCCGTCAAACCAAGATGGCATCATCGTTGCAGCACACGAATCGTAAAGCAACTCTCTCATGGACTAACCGACCAAGGGCGGCCGGGCCAATTACGCTATAATATTCGTAAATGGTCAGATTAATCATGGTGTTGACTTCGTATGTCTCCGATGTTGACCCCACTTGACCTGATTAGGCCTAACCATGCTGGTCAATTTGAATTCTATTTGCGTCTTAGTCAAACCAAGCAAGTCATTCTGGCTTGCTCATGGATTGATATGGTCGGGCGATGCAGTCATTGGTCTGAGAATTATGTGGATTTTATGGTCAACGAGTTCCCTGTTTCTTCCACTTCCAAGGTCAAACAAAGAACACCCAATACTAAAACAACGTCAACGTAGAAAACCAATTAGGAATTGGGAACAGGAAGCTGTTCCAATTACGGCGGCAGCCCCAAAAGTTGACCTTTGACTTGGAATTTCCAGAGGTATTTTGACTCGGTTTCTTCACTTGTCCACCCCGAAACCAGTATGTGCAATAAGCATGAGAAATCTTGAAAGAAGTTTTCTTCTCTTCTTAGAAAAGATTTATATGTACAACATCATCTCGATCAGCAACAAAAACAAAAGCAATAATTAGAATGATGAGGAAAGGCAAATCGGTCAACTGCATGACTGAAACATCCTCCCGGAAATGGCTGCCGCAAGCGCAGCCTTGAACGCCGGATCGTTGGTCAGCGACACGGCCATCTGCTCCACCAAGCTGCGCCGCAGCTCCGGCGACTCGACCTCCTGTCGTGGCTTCGACGGCGCAGGAGACAGGTGACCGGAAACCACGCTGCTGCGGATGGATCCATGCGGACCTGCAGGTTGAGAGGGCTGCCCGTGGTTGTGCTCGCCCTCGTACGTCGCCACCAACATGGATGTGTCCTCTGCGCTTCTTTGCACCTGCGATGCCAAAGACATACATCATCGAGTTGGATCGGTTTCCTTCATCGTCGATCGTCCGATTACAAATCGATAGATTTCGTGGTTGTTACCTTCTTCTTGACGGGGCAAGATGGAGCAAACGAGCATCTGAAGTATGCTCTTGGGCAGGGGTTATCTCTGGTTACCTTCTGCCCATATTTCCTCCATTGATAGCCATCTTTCACCACCTAAGAACACCACAGAGGTAGAATTCAAGTCAATTCTAGCTTGGGACTTCACCAGGAACGCGAAGGAAAGGAGGAGAATCATGCATCAGGAAGTCCGCGGAACTCACGAGGCTCGTATCAGATGGATCCGTGCGAACATACAGCTTGGAAACTTTTGGCTTGAGCTCTTCCCTAATTCGCTTGCAAGAATCGTCGCTGGTGGTGCTCTCCATGTGGTCTCTCTTGCCGATCTCGGTGGCGTCGTCATGCCCGGTGGTAGCAGAGTCGAGGGTGTCTCTCTTCCTCTTCGTCCCAAGCGAGACCGACCCGCCTTCGGAAGAAGTGTTGTCGGACACGGGACCAGTCATCTGATTCCGGAGCGAGCTGTACTTGGCGGCCATGGAAGCGAGCATCTCCTTCAGTCTCATGTTCTCCTCGTTCACGCGGCCGAGCTCCGCCTCAAGAGCCGTCACCTGAGCCAGGAAAACGATCGAATCACATCTCAATAGTTTCGGGGCGAGAATCTCTACACCACATGTCATCGTCGGGGATGATGACGATGGTAATGATAACGAGGATGCGAACTCACCTCTTTTTGGTCTTCGCCGTGGGAGAACTTCTCGTCGGCATGCTTAGCTTTCGCCGGTGGCTCGCTGCCGAACCGAATAGAGCCGATGGTGAGATCGAGATCGACCGAAGGGTGATCAAGCCATGCCAAGTCCATGCTGCGCGAATCTGTGTAACTTGGTTCGGTGTGAAGCTGAAGCAGGAGAAATCTACCAGGGGAATTGAAGAGGAGAAATCTACCAAGGGAATTGAAGCGGAAGGGGCTGGGACTGGGGAGATATATAAGCTTCATTGGATGGGGGGAAGGACTCGGATCCGAGACGGAGAAAGGGGTAGGGGAGACCATCGAAGAAGCGTCGTTACCTTGCCTTCTTGTGCGTGGTCATGGTGGGACCACGAAGCGTGCGGCTTTCGAGGCAAGGAAAAGTAAACGTGCTGGGAGAAGGTGGGCGTCAGTAGCCGCAAAGGAAGTCGAGGGGTCGGCGTTCAAGTCAAGCCTTCGTTGAGCTTGTCCAGGGAGGAGGAAGGAGGCGAGACTCGTTGACTTGTCTTCCACGTTTTCTATTGGTTTGTCCTCCGCTACCAACACGGTGCGGCTTCCATGAAGCTCGTGCTTTCCAAATCTTTACTCGATCAGTAGGAAGGAAGAGCTGCAAGCACTGATCACCATAATAAGAGCACGAGGGACACATGTTAGAGGAAAAGAGGGGAGGAGGGACGACGGAAGGTTCTCAGCTGTTGATGTGGCCAATATATAAAATGCAGGCACGCACGCACGCATGCATCAAAGTTTTGGGTCGCGTGCGTCTTGTTTTCCTCGTGCCCCATCTCACTTCGCCGTGGCTTCTTCTTCCTCTTACGTCTTCATTTAGTGTTTGAGTCATTAATATGTAAGCATGAGATCCTCGAATCGAATGCTCACCGCGACGGCCATGGAAAACAGGGAAGGAGAGAGCAGGTGACAATAAAAGTAAAAGAAAATGGGGGACCTCACCGTCTTCCTCCGTCAATTAATTTTTGGTTTCCCTTCATTAACTTAAGGGAGCTACCATAACATGCCTTACAAGGTGTCACTAATATGTTAGCAATGCAGATTAATCTCCCCGGTGAGCCGATCTTGGAAACTTGGTTCGACACTTTCTTATGCTTTTGATGTTCTCGTTAGGGCTGCAGTGGTGCATAAACTTGGCGCTTGACCTACCAGTTCTGCAGGTGTTTCTGATATCAAACAGATGTAGATACTCTCATCTTTCTCTCAGAAAGAGAAGAAAAGGTTGATGATGATAAAACCTCCTTGCTGAGAGGTGATAGGCTTTCTGCTTGTAGATGTGGAACAAGTATCCAGGCCGTACCTCAGCTGGTGAAATGTGGAACCACTGAGAGGTGAGAGGTGAAGCTGTGCTTGCTTGATAAATACAGTAATCCATGTTTTGTGAATGACACATATTCTATGAGACTAACGATAACATACAGCAACATTTGCTAGGACATGTAGCAAATCTCTCATGCTGCACATTAACGATTGCATCATGAGTTGGAACCTCACTACTCTTGCTCGAGATCTGCAGACATCGAGTTTCAATTCACTTGCATCCCAAGCCAAATAAATGGTGCATGATATCAGCCTGTTCACTTCTTCTTCAACCTCACACCCTACCTAGAGTGACAAGGAACATGGCAACGACCTGCCCTCTTCCATTCCTCTGGGCTCTGTCAGGGAAACGTGAGAAGAGCAAGACCTCATTCTCCTTAACCCTACCCCTTTCAACTCAGAGTAGTCATGAACCTGATCTGATTTGACATCAAATTAGGTCTTTTATTAAGCTTAGATTCCCTGCCATCACTCTCATTAGCAGTCTTGTTTGCCATCCTTATTCTTCTAGCTTGTCAGTCAGGACACTGACTCGTTACTGATCTCTTATTCTTTTAGCCTTTTGTTCCCCATTTTCCAGTGCAACTTCAATGCTTCTGCCACCTATGAGTGGCTTGGTGAACTGCTACCAATAGAGATCTCCAATACACCAGTGTTCTCTTCAGACTTCCCATCAAATTTATTCTTCTTCTGAGGGGGAAAAGAAGCCTATGGTTCAGAGTACCTTCAAATAACTCATTTTGACCTACTCCTAATGTGGACTGGATTAACAAATTCTAAATAGCTTGAACACAAGCAATTCTTTTAGGAAAATATGTATTTTAATTGATCCACTCTACCTGCCATTAAAGTTAAGCTATCAAGGAGAGTGGCTTCAGCCATCGATAGGCCGGTCTAGTGGACGCAACTCCATGTAAGCTAGTCACGAGGATGCATGGCATTTCTTTCCAAGGTGGTACCTTCTGAGTTGGTAGATTGTAGAATTCAATTGTCCCATCCAAGAGATCCCTTGATCTTAATCACCATGTGATGAAAAGAATTCACTGTTTGAGAATTCATCTCTCTTTCGATCAAAGATACATTATTCTACATTGTATCATCTGATGCTGTTCTGCTTTTCTACAAGCATTGGTGAGAATACACATGTTCATCTCTTCCATGGGACCAACTGCAGAGGGCATTGCCTTTACCTTTGGCCTTTGCTCTTGTGTTTTACGGCGCCACTGTGGAGGTCCCCATCATCCCTGCTTCTTCTCACTTAGTTTTCCCTGCTGTGTACCTAAAGCTAAAGCCGACACGATTGTGCTACAGGTGTGGTATGATTTGGGATTGGTACACCTAGTTGATCAAAGGAGCTGCTTATCCAACTAGTTTCCATGGTTGTGGTACCAAGTTGATCGGTTCAGCATCTCGACTCACATTTCTGCAGGTTCATCTCTCTCTCTCTCTCTCTCTCTCTCTCTCACACACACACACACACACACACACAAAGGAGCGAATGATTACATCTTTTAAGAATGTTTGGGACCATGTCTCCGAGCAAGTTGTTTGAATGGATAAATCAAAAGAAAGGGAAAGTTCCTGAATTCCATTTAGACACTAAGTTGGAAGAAATGTTTATAGGCTGAGGAGATGATGGTGGCGTGGCATCTCTGGAATCACATGCTATGACCCTACTGAGAGGAAACTTAGAGTCGTGTGCCAAGGAAGGCCATGAGTTTGGATCAAGTTGTGGATGAGATGGTGGTCCTCTGTCACTCGCTCAGGAAGTCAAACCTAGATGTCAATTCTGAAACCATCTCACCGAGCTCTTGATCTCTGCGTATGAAACCTAAGCCTTCCACTTTGACTGGCTGTAACAGTGTAGGATGGACAAAGTTGCAGCTGCTACTATTGATTGTTTTGGATTCTGGGAGTGGGAACATCTACCCTAAGGTGAGATGTTTTGGGGTGTCCCAAGGACCGAAGTGGTGTCCTAATCCTCCTGTAGGCAGCGAGGTTGCAGACTATTTAATGTCAAGTGGCACTCGTCAGGCAGGAAACTGAAGCTTCAGCAGCCTATGTGTGTGGTGGTGGTGGGGTGTGGGGGGGGTGGGGGGGGTGCGGGGGAAGTGAAGAGAAGACGAGAGGAGGGGGAGGAACCTCCAACAAGCCTTACGTAAAGGCCTCCCATTTGGGTCCCACCTGGTAATTCCTCCGCTCAGCCAATCCCGTGTCGACAACAACTTAAAAGCTTGTTTGCTCCCCCCAAATCCCTCTACTTTGCCTTTAATCGTATGATCAGCGAGACCTCAGACCCGTCCCCGTCTCCATCTCCTCGCGCTTCCCTCTGAAGCGATGAGAGCAGGAGATTAGAGCGCGCTCTTCTACCCCCTTCCTCTCGCTCTTTTACCTTGATCGGAAGAGAAGGATGGAAGGGAGAGAGAAGAAGGAACCTTGATCGCGCTCTTCTGGGATGGATTTTGGTGCAGATTTTGCTGTGGAGGGAGGATAAAGATGGAGATTTTATGTCAGGAAATGGTGAGAATTATGGAGGAGGAGACGGATGGTTGACAGAAGAGAGTGAGCACACGGCGGAGGGTAATGGTATGATACGGTGCTGTTTCCGGTGCGTGCTCACTGCTCTTCCTGTCAGCCCTTTTCTTTGCCATCGTCGTCGTCGTCGTCGTCGTCGTCGTCTCCCGTGGATTTGGGTTTTCTTGGCGAGGAATAGGACGAGCTGTAACAAAGATGAGATCTTCTATCTCCAGTAACCGCTCTCTTTTTGAGGTTGTTTGTCGTGTTTGCTGCAGCTTTTAACCCTCTTCTCCGAAAGGAGAGAGCGAAAGGGGATGATTTCCGAGGGCGATCGTGATGTAATCTCCTCCTGCTCGTCTCTCTTTCATCGGAAGCCTTGTTGCCTCGCGCCTTTTGAGGCGGAGAGGTGGGCGACTGTCCGTCTCTCTCCTCGGATGGGACGGAGTTGGCGAGGAGAGGGTACATGCCTCGTCTCTGCGTACCGTGCGGACATAACGGAAACGACTACTCGACTGGTCCTCTCTCTCTCTCTCTCTCTCTGCTGCTACTGTTTTCTTCTTCGTTTTGGCGTAGGGCTTGTTATCGGCGTCTCGATGGATGCTGGCGATCCATGAACCCGCATCGGTTCTCCTTCCTGCTTCTAACCCCATCCCTGGAATCAAGATCGACTTTTGACGACAGATCTTGAATCGTAAGCACCTTCTTCTTCTACTTCTGCACTTCTTTTCTTCTTTTGATCATCAATCTCGCCAGGGTTGTCTTGCTTCCGGTGGGAACTAGAACAGGAAGATCTTGTTTTTCATGTTCTTACATATCATCTTCACGCTTGTTTGCGGTGCCTCAGGAACTACGGAGCAAAAAGGAGCGATCTTTTTTCGCCGACCGCATCTGGTTTGGTCTCAGATTTCTAAATCTGTGCCGTCATCATATTTACGGTACCTCATCGTATCCAGTATCTCCATGCTTTTCCTCGTTGGCTGCATGCTGCGGTCGCTAGAAGCCATGACATCTATTTATCTGCCATTACTCGTCTCTTCACTATCCACCGTCTTTCTCGCCAGATCTCACCCTGTAAAAAGTGCCAAAGATGACTCCTTTAGTTTGTGATCGGTCCCTCGTTTTGATCATTCTTCTGTTTCCAGGTGAAGGAACGACAGTGGATCACCAGAACGAGGCATTTCGTCGAAAACCTTCTTCATACTGCGCAGGTATACCATTTCATACTTGATCTGCAGTCATTTTTCTTTCAGTATGTTGCATGAACTTTTTGGATAATTCATGAAGAATCATTAGAATTTAAGCCTCCTCTTGTATGAGTGTGACACTTCGAGATTGTAGATATGTCGGTAGAGAGAGAGAGAGAGAGAGAGAGAGAGAGAGACTGATATGATACGGATATGGGAATCAATTAACATTTCCTACGGAAATAGCATGCTAAAATGTACTAAAAGAAACCAAAACAAAAAAACAAAAACATAAAAAGGAGTATGGAT